ACAGAAGGAAGACCAACAGAGTAGAGGAAGGGGAACAGGGGAGAGAGAAGGGGAGGGAAAGGGGAAATACTGGGCAATGAAATGAAGTAAGTTGTATTCTATGCTTATATGATTGTGTCAAAATAAACCCCAATATTATGTATAACTAAATGAAGTAATAAAAATATTAAAAAGTAAATCCAAGTAAGTACTTCCTTTATACCCCAAATTACATAGTCCCGATCATCCCTGGTCATCTGAAATAATCACCTAATGGACTATTAAAAATTACTAAACTGATGAAGACTCAGTGTTCCATTAGCCTAAAGTTTAGCACTGATTGTCTTGTGGTTCTTTCCTGCTGGTGCATACCAAATGTCCCCATATGAAATAATAACTGGTCCATCCATGAGAAATCCCTATTCTGCCTGGTCTCTCAAAGATTTTTTTCCTTAGGGTACCAGGGATTGAACCCAGGGGCACTTGATCACTGAGCCACATCCCCAGCCCTATTTTGTATTTTAGAGACAGAGTCTCACTGCGTTGCTTAGTGCCTTGCTTTTGCTGGGATGGCTTTGAACTTGCGATTCTCCTGTCTCAGCCTCCTAAACTGCTGGGATTACAGGCATGCACCACTGAGCCCAGCCTCAAAAGATTTTAACTTCATAAATTCAGACATCCTTGTTATGTTTTGGATGTGAGGTGTCCCCCAAAAGTTCATGTGTGAGACAATGCAAAGTTTAGAGGAGAAATGATTGGGTTATGACCTTAACCTAATCATTGAATTAATCCCTGATGGATTAACTGAGTGGTAATTAACTGAGGCAGGTGGGGTGTAGTGAGAGGAGGTCATTATTGGGGGCATGCCTTTGGGGTATATATTCTGTATCTGGTAAGTGGAGTCTCTCTGCTTCCTGATCATGTCAGCTGCCTCCCTCTGCCACACTCTTCTGCCATGATGTTTTGCCTCACTTTGAGCCCTGAGGAATGGAGCCTACTGTCTGTGGACTGAGACCTCTGAAACTGTGAAACTTTTCCTCCCCTACAATTGTTCTGGTTAGTCATTTAGTCACAGCAGCAAAAAAGCTGACTAAAACAATCCTAAAATACTGACAAGGATTTTTCCTGTCCTCCAAGCACTTTCCCTCACAATTCTGTACGTTCTCACTCTGTCTCTCTGTCCTTTGTGGAATCCCAGGTGAATTAAGCCTCATCCACTAGGAAAGTAACCCAGTGACTTTCCTGCTGGTGCTAGACAGACTGGGTATGAGGGACTGCTTGTTATTTATGACTATTAGCTGTAAGTGGTCCTTGCTCCCCTAGCCCAGACTCTAAATGCTGCCCATCAGGTGGCATATCATCATTTACACTTCCTGATGAACCCAGTATGCTGAGATCCAAGGCCATTGACCAGATCCAAATACTAGAAATACGAAACCCTTTGCGTCTGGAAAGGGGACTTTTCCACAATCACACCCGTGTGCTTCAGAATTTGGACCACTAAGTGGGAAAGAGGGCAGAGTGCTGGTGCCTACCTGAGAAACACAGCACAGTGTGCTGGGGTAATCCTTGGCTCAGTATCTCCATGGACTAGGTACTTGTTCAGTATGCTCTAGGCAGCACAGTGGCAGGTTGTCCATCACCTGAGCCAAGATTAATCACATACTCCACTAAGTCAAATGAGTCCAAACGTGGCTCTGTGAATAAACACTCCTTTCTCCCTCACTGCTCCCCCAAGTCTTATTCATTGCTCAATTCTGGGTCCATTGTATTTATTTTACAGTTCTGTCTGTGTCTTCACAACCATTTCCCTAGTCCTTTAACCATCTTCACTTCCATGGAGGAGTGACTTTTCCCTTCCTCCACTCTGCCCATCTTCAGTCTACACTTTTCACTACTGCCACAGAGACCACTCCAAAGCACAAATCTGACCATATCACTACCCTGCTTCAACCCTTCCTGGATATTCCTTTTCCTTCAGAGAAACTCTAAAGTCCTCATTATGGCATACAGATGACTGTGCCCATCTGTGTTGGGGGGTCTTCTCCACAACTACCCTTGGGTTTGATGATTCTCAAAATTTCAGGTCCCCAGAGGTAATCAGGAGTTTAGCATCAACCATATTCTTTGTACAATATAGGTGCAGTCTGCCTTAATTCTTCTCATTTAGGGAAATGTTTATATTAATATAGATAACTGTTTATCTTGCAAGTTCCCAGAGGCCAGTTAAGGGCCAATCTGTCCTTCCAAGTCTAGCATTCTCAGGCCTTCCATGGTAACATAGTTCCTGTGCATTGTTTGTCCAACATCAACTCCTCCACTCCTTATCACCATAAAATGTAGCCCTATCAAATCTCAGGGTACTCCCAAAGCATACCACAATTTTACCTATCATCATTTTAGCACAAGATAATCTCTATATCTCCTGGAGCTCTCCTTCATCATCTAGCAAAGTACATCTTCAAAATGATCTTCTGTCACTTTGGTATAATCTTCCCTGATTCCACATGGTTGGATAACTCAAGTGCTCCTTCTGTATGTTCCCATGGTATCTCACCATACCCTCAGGGCAGCCAAATTGGGTGGGCTTATTTCAGGGTACATAGTACACCAGTAAGTTAGACCAACCTGGCTTGCTTTCTATGACTGCACTTTTCCTAATTATTCCATTTATCCAAAATTTTCCTTCAAGTACTACTCCACAGCTCCTCTTCCTCCCCCAGACTCTTCAATATTATTTTCTAGAATTCTGGCCTTTCTGCCTTTGCTTCTCTCTTCTTTTTACCTGTTTTCATTTTTATACTTGGTTAGGGTTTTAGGAGACCAATAATTAATAGCCCCTGCTTTCTTTTCTTTTTAAGACAGAAAAGCAGAAAATAGATACAAATATCCACTGACAAAGCAGGTGGTTTGGATGTACATCCTATAAGGAAGGCTCCCTCTGCATTCAAACCACATGAGCTTACCTACCCAGTCAAGGGCTTGTGGGACAACTGGCCATGGGAACTTGTGGACAGGAGCAGAGAATGCTGTGTACACACTGGCTTCCAAAGACATTCTCCAAGTGACCTTACTCACTCCCTTCAGTTATTTCCTGTAAGCTGACAACTCTCAACTCTGTAGCCCCTTGTCAGATGTTCACTCAACTCCAAACCTGTTTAATCAATAGTCTACTTGTCATGGACCCCTGGATCCTCTACAGGCACTTCAAATTGAACATGGTTCGATGACCATATCATATCTGCATAGCTATCCCTCCAATCTCCTCAACCTTAGCTCATTCCTGTCATCATTTACTTAGTCACCTGGCCATACAATATGGGCACCAGCCTTAGCTTCCATTTCTCCCTCACCATTATCTTTAATAATTCAACGACACTGAGGCCTTGTCACCTCTCCCTTGCCCTAAAAAGCCTCCTAATGGGCCTCTTGCCTTGTCCTGCTATGCCCTCCCACATAGCCTGATCCTCCCATAAGTCATCTGGCCATGGCATTCTCCTGCATGGAAACCATCAGTGGCTTCTGGGAACCTCAGGATGTGGCTTGCACTCCTCAACCCTCACAGCAGTTGCCTGCCCAGTCCACTGTTGATACTTCATGCCAGGCTACCAATTTACTCTTCTTCCCTGCAGCCACCCTGATTCCACATTCATTTCCTATAAACGTACCTTTCTCCAAGTATCTAGTTTCCTCTACCTGAACGCCTTCTCTAGCACATGCATGAGGCAAAATCTTTGTTAGCCTTCAAAATTGAGCTCCAACCTCACCCCACCTGCAAAAAAAATCTTTCCTGACATCACAACCACTTCCCCACAAAAAAAGACGAAAACTAGAACCAGTCACCTCATCCTTCATCTATGGGCTGCACTTTTTATATTACTTCCTAACTGCATAGAACACTAATCCATGGATGAAGCAATATAAGGTGATAGAAGTTCAAAAATGGTCAGTCTTTGAACTGGGTCCTTTCAGAACTTAGGGCCATGAAGTCAAAGATGCATTAGATAATTTTAAATGAGAAAACCTATTATCTAACAGGTGAGCGTGGACCTAAAATTATCCTCCTCCTGTCTAACTAATTATGGAACCACCATGATATAAAAAGGCCCAAAACCATGAGGGTGGAGAATATTTTTATTTTTTCCCTGCAAAAGGAGGCACAGACACCAGCTGTACCCCACAGCAGATTCCTTGCTTGAATCCACCATCTTCTGTCTCAGGGGACAGTGGGAGTGTTGGCTCATTTCTAGCATTTCAATCTTGTGTAAGAAACCATTTGCTAAGATCTGCAGAAGTGGCTAGTGCTTCTGTTTGCATTCCCATAAATCACTGAGCAACACATACTATATTCAATGATCTGTGAAGGTGTTCATAGATGTACAGGACAATGCGGCATTGGCAAAGGCAGGCTCTATGCCTTCTGCAGGGTTTTGACTTGAAAACTCCCCACCTAAACCACATGGTCACCTCCAGTGTTGATCACACTTGCCCTCTTACTCATACACAATGACATACAACAACTTACTGCCTGTTATATCTCCTGCCACTCACTCTCCCCCGCCTGTTCACATTTGCTCCTTTCCTCACTTTGACCTTCTCTCTGCTTCACCCTATTACTCTCCTATTTTTACTTTCTTTTGCTCTCCCTCTTTCACAGTCTGTGTCATTCATGCTTTATCATTCTCTGACAGCACAACTTTATGCATAAAAATGGCCTCTGCCCTACTGGAACCCCAACCTGGAGTGCACATGCACTGGGAAATTAGCCTTCTTATACTTGAGGACAGACATCTCCACCTATCACAGCACTATCACATTTCCTCAAATCACAGAAAGTCCACTAATACTGCCCAGGGAATCACTACCATGATTCCACTTACAGAGCAGGAGTGCAAGTACCTGACTGTGTAATATGCCAGGCATCCGCATGGAGTGGAGGAAGTGGTTCCCACAGGTGTCTTGCTGCCCCCTATAAAGCCCTGGCTGCAGCCAGCAGGAGCCCAGTGGAGTTTAGACCTTACCTGCTGGCAGAGTTCTCCAGTTCAACAAGCTGCTCAGGTGCAGCAGGGGTGTTCTGCCACTCTGGGATGCTGAGATCTACAGGTTGTGGAGTGGGTGCAGCTGGGTCTCCTTGGCCAACCCCCAGGACTTCAGGCGTCTCCTGCGAGACCTCACAGACTTTAGTGGCTACATTCTTCTCTTCATAAGCCGCTGAGATGCTGAGGAAGAATGAACACACTATGAAGGGAGTGCTCACCCTCTGCACGCTGGCTGTCACGTCTGCTGGGCATGGAGGGGCTCATGTCCTTGAGAGTAGAACACAGAGGAGCCAGAAAAAAACCCATCTTGAGGGAGTGGGTGGCATCCTCCTCCACAGGACCTCAGCACCCCTGCTTCCTTGTCACTAAAAGTCAGCCTCCAATGTATAATAAATAAAGCCAATCCTGCAACAGGGGGTTGTCTCGCCAGATGTCCCAGGCAGCAGATTTTGAGGGGCAGGTAAAAAAATGGAAAAAGTGAGCCGAGGCTCCACTTGCACACTCCTTCCATCACCATTCCTGCCCCAAGGTGCAAGGTACTGCTTCCAGGAACTATTCGGCCAGGGGCAAAAACAGCATTGGGTAACTCACAGCATGAGCCCAGCATTCAAATATTCAGCATCACCTGAATTTTGGGTCACCCTAAATACAACTTTTACGTATCAGCAGTCTGCTTCCAATACCTGCTAGGGGAAACCCCAAGATAGGGACACACTACCAATTTACACCATCCCTGGGACTCTTTATTTATGGACATTAATTCTATAAAATCAGGCTCTGCAAATTCAAGCTGGAATACCAATGGGAGTGATGGATATGGTTTTCAGGGAACATACCTTGAAAATAATGCAATTCTTAAAACTTATGTGGAAAGTTACAAAAATTTCCCAATAGGGACATAAAATCAATTTCCACCTCCAGCTGCACTAAGCAGTGTAGATCCTTTGTAGAACTAGTATGGTGATAGAGGCTGTCCTCACCAAGTTGGTAAATGGAGCCAAGATTCTCCACAAAGAGTAATTTTGGTTCCAATGCAACAAAGGAACAAATGGAAGAATAAGCCTTCATCCTAGGCCTTGGTAGCAGGGTCTCTATGATTTTAACAGATGTACCTCATATAGGTTGTGAAATGGAAATCTTGGTTGAATACTCCCAGGAAGACTTGTTGAGAAATGTAACATCATAGATCCAGTTGCATAATACATAAACGACCAATTCCTAAAACAACCAAAGTCTTTATAGAAAAGACAATGTCCTTTTCCACTCTTGTAAGACCTCCACTAGAATCCTCCACTGGTTGACAACAGTTGACAGCAGTAAGTGAATGTTCCTAAAATTACCCTGCTCTTCATGTAGGAAAAACATAAATTTGAAAAGCCCACACTTAAGCAATAACAAAGAGGAAAACAGCATCTGTTTTAGTTGTAAAGTCTGATATCAAAATTTCAGAAGGAAGGAGATGAGATACAATGTCTTGTGAAATGAAATCAGGCCAATAAAGCTGGTCAAGTGAAAAAGAGAACAGCTTTCCCAGGACCCTTGAATAGTTTTGGCTGAAGGAGCTATCCCCTGAAGGTACTTCATTTGGCTTGAAGGTTTTATCAGATAACCAGCATCTGACATTTATCCAGTAGTTTATGCCAAGAAATGTAACATCTATAAAATATTTTGTGCCAAGAAATCTTACGTGTTTTACATATACACTCATTTAACCTTCACAACAACCCTATATAGTAAAAGTTATTACTATTACTATTCTACACTTAAGGAAACTGAGGCCCAGAGATGAGTGATACACCCAAGGTCACAGAGCTAGTGACAGCTGTGATTTAAACTCAAGCACCAGAGTCCATGCTGTCAACCTATTGTACTATACTGATTCTCCCTATATGTGTGATGGAGCAGAACCAAGTTGGGATAGGGTAAAGTTCCTAAGGTTTGGGATAACTTTGTTGAAATAACTTTGTGCTTCATCATCAAATTCAAAGGGAACTATGTCCATAACCACTGAGAGGCACAGGCATTGCTTTGTGGAACTTACTAGGTTCATAGAAAGACTAGGGTGAGAGCTCTCAGCGGGGCACGGGCTTGCTTGGTTTGAATCTCCCGCAGGCAACGCTAACCACTGAGCGGCACAGCGTACCCAAGCCGGTGACCCCGCCCCAGGGCTCTGGTGGCTGGACGGACGCCCCGCCCCGCCGCCCCCTGCCCTCCGCAGCCCACTGTCCAGTGTCCGGAGGCGACGGTCCCCTGCGCCCCCCAGCCGTGCACACGCGGCCACCCCAAGACCAGCCTGCTGAGGCCACCTCTACCCGCGGTGCCTTGGGGTGGGGGAAGGGCGGACACAGCCCCAGCCGGACGACCAGGCCCATCCGCGATCCTCGCACGCCACCTCGCGGCCAGCAAGGGAGCGGCCTCGGGACCAGTCCCGCCGAGGCCCACCTCGCCCTGGCGGCCATTTCGCTCGGCCCAGGGGCGCGCTTCCCGGCGGCCACCTCGGCTCCAGGCCGGCGGCTGCAGGAAATGGCGGCGTGCGCAGGCGCACTCGCCATGGTCCTATGCTGCCCGACCGCGAGCGCCGAGGTGCCCCGGCGCGCGCATGCGCTGGCACACTCTTATTGCGGCTTCACGCTCCACGCGGCGCAGGCGCCAGAGGCCCGTTCGCCCACGCGCAGGCGCCCGGCTTCAGCGTCCGCTTATCTGGTCTGGGAGTCGGTAGCCTGAGCGGGCCTCTGTACTCCTCCTAAGGTTCTGTTCCCAAAGACGCCACGACGCACCAGAGCAGGGTCGTCAAGCTCAGCGGTATTAACGTTTGGGCCGGATAATTCTGCTCTGTGCGTTGCGGGCTTGGGCGCTGTACTGTACCCTGTAGGGTGTTTAGCAACGCTACCTGGTCTGTGCCCTTTAGAACCCAGTACCTAGTACCACCCAGCCTCAATCGTGGCAGCCAAACAGGAGTCGGAAGGTCTGGGGATGCCCCTCCTTCTGAACCACTAAGCCCGCAGGCCCTGCCGGAAGAATGCTTCTTCACCAAGACTGAAGAAGACAATAAACACAGGAAGGGCTGAGGCTTTTAAAAAGAGAACAGTTGGTGCTGGGGAGGACCTCACTGGTGGAGGCTTTCCTAGCATGCATGGGATCTTGGGTTCCATACTCTGTGAGAGAGAGAGAGACACACACACACACGCACGCAATGGCAGAGGCTCACCCCAGAAAAACCACATCCAAACATACACCTGGAGCTCAGGAAGACCTTTGTTTTTAAACTCTTCCCAGGTAATGCTCAAATGCAACCAAAGTTGTGAAACATTCATCAACAAACTGTTGTGTTGACTTTGCAAATTTAAACATCAGAGGAAAGTACTTCTGACCCTAGGCTCTAGAGTTGGCCAGCTCTTGACTTTTATTTCCAGCTCTGCTCCTTACAGGAGTTTATCTCTTGGTTTCCTCCTCTGTCAACATAATCAGAAATCTGATGTTTTGCAGGGTTTGGAGAACATTAGATGAAACCACACAATGTGCTTTACACGTAAACAGCTGCAAGTTACTATTCTGGGTCGTGAGTATATGCTCCAAACATAATTCATAAATTTGTAGTTTTCTCCTGAAGTTTTTCTTTGAGCCTCCTCTTTGGGACTCAGTTCTGCCACTTGTAAGGCCTTGGATAAGACATTTAACCTTTCTATGCTTGTTTCCCCATCTTATCCATCTCATGTAAGTGTGAGCATACCACACTGTAACTGTCAGTACTGTTCTCACCCTCATTGTTAATTGTCAGTGGAATTTTAAACAGAAAAAAGGCACACAAAGCTTCATACTTTAGAGATCTGCTGCACACCCCCCCTTCTTGTTTAAGTTTAAAAGCAACTGCAATGCAATACGAAAATGTAAATGTGCATTCATTGTTAAACACCTAGATCACACAAGGCTCCTCTTTGACTTAAAACTTGAAAGAAGAGTATATCTCCTTATTATAGTTAATCAAGGCCCTATCCATCTGTAGTCCCCACCACTGCTTTGGCTCCACTCTAGACTTTGGAACATGGTAAACACATTCCCACCACTATGTTATCAGGTTTGCAGTTCTTCATCTGCAGCTCCTGTCTCCCCTCTATAGGGTTGGTTCCCTTGTCTTTGTGTGCCTGAATTTCCACCCTCCACCCACCTATGTACTAGCTCTCCTCAATGCCACCTCTTTCTATCTCAGCACCTTGGGTGTTTTCTTCAGAGCACTGACCTTCCCAAGGGGCATGGAGACCTAGGTTCTGAGTCCTTGCTGTTCACTAAAACCTTGTGAGGCTAGGGAGTACTGTATGAAACACCATGAATACATGGCTGTGCACACAGTTGGTGTCCCAAATTTAAGTTGCTGTTGCATGGAACAAAAGGCCAATCAGCCCTCCTACTTAAGCAAGCTTCCTCTTCCACCACTCCCCCATACAGTCCCATCATTGGCCACATTTAGCTCTGTGCAGTGCCAGGTTCTTTTGAGCACTTTGTATATCCTATTCCCTCGGCTTGAGGACTCCTACACCTTTCAAGATACAACTCAGAAACCACATCCCCATGAAGCTGTACCAAGGCCCACTTTTCCCTGCTCTAGCATGATGTGTTCTTCTAATGTGGGCCAGGCTTTGTTCTCACCCACACACAGCCTAAGAGTCCTTGAAAGCAGAGACATTCTGATTTGTGTGGGTGCTCCAACCTGCATCAAAGGGTAGGTACCATCCCAGTGGTTGATGACTGGAAGAGTGATCCTTCCTGATTATAGAGTACCTCTACTACCAGGCTAGAAGAGACAGGGCTTAGCAAAAAGCTCTGACCCCAGAGGCAGAAACCAGATGGTCCAAGCTGGGACTTTTGTCCTTGCCATGTGCCTTGGGCCAGCTCACAAGCCTAGATGGCTTTGGCTTCCTAACCAAAGGATACTCGAGCTACCTCTCTCTACCCCAGAAACTTACCACTGTCTACTAATACCTTACCCCTTAGGGTCTGTCTTTGTTTCTTCCAGGACTGCTGTGCTGTCACTCTTCCTATCATCCAGGACAGCAGAGGCCAAAGTGGTACTGGAGCTGAGGGAAGGAAGCACATGGTCCTGCTGAAGCTCAGATCAAAGGAAGCTGGGGGCCCAGATCTTCCCATTTCCCAGATACCTTCTAACAGGAAAAGGAAACTGTCTGCCAGTAAAGGCTGGCCTCTCAGTTATGTCCCTAGAAACATTTGTCCTTCCCAACCACACGCTATGTGCTCCTGGGACTGAAGCCTCTAGTGCTAGCTGATTGTCCCTGAGATTCTTCTTCCTGATTCCTGCTTGCTGGATCAGTTAGCAGACCCTAGAGGAGAGGTGCACTGAGACCTCTTATCAGGATCTGTTTCTAAGCTGGGCTTTCTGATGCCCTCCATTCTGTCTCTGGTCCCCTGCCACCTCAGGGCCCATAAAGTTTGGTGCTGAAATGTCTGGGCCAACAGACTTACCTCTGTTTCTCTTCTCCCACTGTCCCCAGTGAGTGTGTACAGCTCCAAGTTGGGCCCTTATTTTATTTTAGTTTTTAGTTTTAGGTGGACACAATATCTTTATTTTTATTTTTATGTGGTGCTGAAAATTGAACCCAGTGCCTCACGCATGCCAGGCAAGCGCACTACCACTTGAGCCACATCCCCAGCCCCTGGCCCCTTCTTTTGACACCTTGTCCTGTGACACTTGATGTAAGGTGACATGGATCTGAGAAGTTTGAGGGGATCTTAGGGCACTGGAACTTAGGTTAGGCTCTGAGTACTGTGTCTGGCAATAGGACTGGTCACTGAGGAATTCACCACACCCTTACCTGATAGCCACTGGTCCAGGCTTGCAGGAATGAGAGTTGGCATCATGCACATCTTGATCGTCCAGAAAAGGGGTGAAGGTAGCAGCAGAGCCCTCCCTGTGGAAGGAGGTCATGCCTGGTCCAGGTTCAGGACCCCAACAGATGATGGGGAGTGTGGAATTGCTCAAATGGATGCTTAGGTGTCAATATTAGCTTATATCCCAAGGCAGCTGGACAGGCATGACAATTACCTGACCTCTTTGGGCCTTAGTTTTATCATTGGTGAAATAGGGATGATAATCCTATCTGCCTCATAGATGTTCTTAGAAGAGTAAGTGAATTCACATTCACATAATAATACCTGGGCCATAACACACGCTAACACATTTCTGTTCTTACTGGGTCTTGGGGCTGCTTATAAAAAGCAGCCCATCTGTATCCACCCAGTTGATGGAGATTTAGTGGCTCTCCTTTACCCAGGCTTCCCAGTGTTAAGCCACATTCTCTGTCTCCATAAAATGGGAGAAAAGATATTCATAGGTCACCCCATTACCCACACAAGCTCGAAACCTCCATTTGGGTAATATAATGAGTCCTTCATGTTTGTTCCCAAGCCTGTTTATGCCAATTGCACTTGCAACCACAATCACCAAATTCAGTTGTTGAGTAAACTCATGAAAATGAATGGAAACGAAGGGTAGTTCCAAGAGAAACAACCTGTACTTTGGAAAGATAGTAAAGGAGTTTTCTAAAAATCAATGTCAAACCAAGTACAAATAAGCAGCTATAAAAGACTGGGCTAAATATCCTAAAAAATCTAGGAGATTCTTCAGAATACTTTGCAAATTACCTTGAAGTTTAGCTTTATTTATTTTTATTTTTATTTTTTTCATACTGGGGATTGAACCCAGGGGTGCTTTATCAGTGAGCCACATCCTCAGCCCTTTTTATTTTTTATTGTGAGATAGGTCCTGGCTGTTTCCCAGGATGGCCCCCAATTTGTGATCCCCCTGCCCCAGCCTCCTGAGTTGCTAGGATTACAGGCTTGTACCACCATACCCTGCTGAGGTTTTTCTTACTTTAAAGAAACTAGAAAGCAAAGACTTCCTTTTATGAAGATACATAAGCAGGAAGGATGATACAGATGGATATTCAAAGACAAAGCAACCCAGAACCAGACTCAATCACACTGGAGCAGAAATCTTCTATGGTTGCCAACAGAGCAAATTAGTGTGTGCCACTGTGGGAGAGGGCAGGAGGCAATGCTGATGGGGGCCAAAGTTCCTGCTGCCATGCAGGTCCCTCTGGACCAGGAAAAGGGGTTTGGACTTTATTCCAAGGGAAGTGGGGAGCCACTGGGAGGTTGAAGCAGGGGGAAAATGTGATCTGATTTAGTTTTTCAGAAGATCTTTCTGCTGCCTTTGCAGATAGCAAAAAGATGCAAGCTGCTTAGGCAGGGCTGTAGCAGTTTTTCCCATTAGTGGTAGTTCAAATAACTGAGTCCCCAGCACAGTGGCCTTTCCTGAACCTCCTCAGAGACAGTGGTTTCAGAGGTTGGGCTTACTGTGTTATTCCTACATTGGCTTGTGCTCCTGGACCTGGCTAGTAACCCATTGAAACTAGTAAAGTTAGAGGAAGGGGCCTTTGGTGGGCTTGTGGAAGTAGGGGCAACTGGGAGGGGTTTGGGGAAGGCAATCAGCAGGGCATCCTTCCCAAGACCCCTCCTGGCCAGATTTGCAGGAGAACACAGGCATCTTACAGTTGCAACTGTCTAGCATCAGTTCTGACCCATAAGGACTCTAGTACAGTTTGGAACTGAACTACTTGTGTCAACATCTACATTCCTAACCTTTGCCCCAAGGATGATTCATGCTTGGTTTGGAACCACCTGGGGACAGGTGGAACCTTGCCACTCCCCAAATCATCTGAGAAAGTGACTTCTGACTCCACCCAGGTCCAGCAACCCAAAACCAACCTGGACAACTTTGTCTCCTAGCTTGTCTCACCTGGGCTGCTGCTTTTCCTCTCATTGACCCCTCAGAGCAGAGTTGGCAAAGAAGGGGGGACTTTGGGGCTTCTTCCTCTTTGGGAAAGGGAGATGGTAGGATCAAAAGGCCTCCTAGTTGGTCCTCACAGCTCAGCCAAGAAGTAATAAGGCATGGATTCATCCATCATTTGGTCACTCATTAATTAGTTTGTCCCTTCTGTATTCCCCACATGTTCATTCCACCTGCCCAGGGCCAGTCCTGGTGAGGGCTGGACCTCCAACTGTGAGTGAGGCCTTGTGCTTGCTCTGGAGGAACTTGCAAGCCAGTGGAGGGAGTGGGCAGGAGAAGGAACAAGGCAGGAGCATAGGTAAATGAAAGGAAATATGTAAAATATGACGGCAAGGGATGTGATGAAGGGAGGGAGTATGGGTAAAGCAGCAGACAAGAGCTCCAGGAAGTGACCAGTGCCTCACCCCAGCAACCCAAGTAGTCTGGCAGCTTGAGTGTGGCCTGTCACCAGGGACACATGTCTCCTACAAGCACCTCACCCTCCTATTTCTGAGCTGATGTCTGCTCCAGCCAAGCCTTATGGTGGGGACCCCATGGCTCCTGATCCCACATTTCCATCATTCAATTGTGCACTTGATCTGTGATGGAAAGAGAAGTGTTTGCTAACTCTAACTGGGCTTTAATCTTATCGAACTCCAGTATCCTGAGAGTGGGTCTCAAGGACCAGAAACAGAACCTTGGTTGCCTCCCTGATCACAACAAAGAGAAGCCCACGCAGACTCTAACAGCAAAACTTCTCCAAAACTTGATGAGTATCAGTGGGGCCAAGAAACAGTAGAGACTCAGGAGGGCAACAGAGAGACTCAGCAGGCAGGCATGTTGGGGACTGATAGCCAGCAGACAAAGGACAAGGCATTCTGGGCTGCTAATAAGCCAAAAATGGCAGAAATAAGGCTACCCCAGCCATCCAGGACACCCTTCCCTTATTCCCATGGCTTAAAGTCTTAAGTAGGGGCTCCAGAGCTCCATAATGGGAAGGCAGATCTGTGGGTTCAAATCTGTTCCTGGCTACCAGACTCTGGCTAGCAAATGCCCAATCTACAGCCATTGCTCACCAGATCCATTCTCTCCTGGTCTGACTTGGAGGCTAGGTCTGCGGGATGTAGGATAAATAGGCACAACCATCTCCTCTAGATAACCACTCCCCACCCTCCCTTTGTACAACTTGGTGGCCTTGGTTTGAATGGATCATTCACAAGGCTGCTTTTTCCTGGAATAAAAGCATAGTGAGTATGGTGGCTTTAGATGAATTGAAGGAAATCAGTGAAGGTCAAGTGCTGGGATAGGGGTGGCCTAACCTAGAATTTGGTCCTGCTTTGCAACCAGTGACCTCAGGGATCTTGGCAGGGGTCTGCCCCTCTCCAGGCCTCATTCATTCATCCTTTCAACAGATAATCATTGAAGACCTGTACTATCCCAGGGGGACAGCAAGGATAGGCCAATCCTACTGCCAGCAACATCCACCAACCTTCACCTGGATGAAGATGTGGATTCCATATTCTGGGGATAAAGACTCTGCTCCCTGCCATGAGTTACCTTTCAGAATCTGTGCTGGGATCCTTGAAGGTCTCACCAGCCAAGTCTCTCTTGAGCTCTCTGAAGCAGGGGGACTCCTTGTCTTTGTGGTCTTGGAAAGACCTATGGGGGAACAGTTATAAATTAGCCACTTGTTATCTACCCACACTCTGGCGGGGACAGTTATCTCAACCCTTGGGCAATGCTGTCATCTATGCCCACTTTCTAGATGAGCAACCTGAGCCACAGAAATCCGAGTAACTTGCTCCAAATTCCACAGTAGAGGAACAGCTGGGAATTTGAGCCCAGGCAGTCTGATTTGAGAGTTCTGGATTATATTTCTTCACACTGTAAGCCTGATCCTAGCTTACTTACTCTCACTCTGTTCTCTTTTGAGTTCATTGAGGAGCCCCATGTTGTCAAATCCAATAGTCAGTCCCATCATTATCTCAGGCCACCACCAGTACTACTGACCCAGTGGGCCACTCCTACTTGCTTCCTCTACTCCCTTGGTCCTGTGACACCTTCTACCTCCCTTTATCTACTTCACCTTTATCTTCTATGTTTCACTTAAATGTTGGTGTCCCCAGTGTTCCTCCCCGCTTTGCATATTCTACCACCTACTGGGTTTCCTGCTCTCCTCACATGGCATAAACTGTCACCTTGATATAATGACCTCCAAAAGTCACCCAGGTAGATACATGGAGGACAGTCTGGGGATGGGACAGTAGGACATGGTGGCAGACAACTGGGCCAAAAATGGTGGAGGCCTGAGTCTAGGGGAGGGTAGTAGAAATGAAAATATCTCTAAAATAAAATGGACAGGGGAGTATATGGGGTTAGAGAGAGAGGAACCAAGAAGGAAAATAAAGGGATGTATAATTCCCTTTAGATTTATCTTGGTCATCACTTCTTCCAGGAAGATTTCCCTCAGCCCCTGCTGCTCTACAGATTAAGGGATTACCTCCTGTGTACACACCCACCTCTCTCCTCAGACCTTTGGCTTCACAAAAGACAGGGGCCCAGTCTTTCTGCTTAGATCTCTCTGAGCCTCCGCTTCAGCTTCCCTCTGGCCCAACTCCCAGTGTCCCCTGCTTCCTCCAGGGCAGGAGACTGCTGCTTCCCCATCTGTGTCCATACCTGTGATCCAGCCTGCCTGTCATCTGGGTGTCTGGCCCCTGCTTCCCCCAGGGTAGGAGCTGAATCCATTGAGTTCCCAGCTGGTTGTGGTCCCCTTGTCCCTCCTCCTCCCCAGCACAGGACACTGTGGCATCATGAGCTATGGAGGCTGACCCAGGATCCTAACCTATTCCCAGTACCCCCTTCACACAGGCAAGTGAACTACCTCAGTGGCTTCAAGGTATGGCACAGACCCAGTGTCCCCACTCAGCACAGTTGGCCAGTCTTGGGGGCTCATAACATACAGTGCAGTCAGTACCACAGAGTGACCTTGCTCATGTCTGCATCTTCCTCCCTCATCAGGCAGAAATTCAGCAACTCTGGCCCAGGGGGTCCCAGTCACAGCTGGATCCCAGAGCCAGGCCTATTGCCTCACAAGGACCAAGTGCTCATTCCAGAAAAATTATTGATCGAAAGAATGAGATAGGAGCAGAGAACCCAAGTTGATCATATCTTCCACCAACCTGTCACTCCCACAGTGACAGAATCAGTCCCTAGGCCTCATCCTTTGCATCCTGGCCCTCTGCCCCATCACTAGAATGGTGTAGAGGGACACAGTACAGCAGCAGGGCCTCTGTACCTGATGCCTTCCAGGTCTGGAGCCACCAGGCGGAGTCCTGCCCTGGGTGTCATGATCTGCAGACGGACAATCTCCTCACCTCTTGAGCTGTGGGCCAAAGGAGAGATCTGAGAGTTGCTACTAGGGAAAGCCTCTCCTTTCCCACCTGAGTCAATGTCCAAAGATGTTGTCCCTCTGGTGCTAGTGCAACAACCAGACCCATCACTCTCCCCCTTTTGTTTTTGCTCTCATCTGCTCTTTGGCCTTGAACCTTCTTGGTTCTACAACTGAGCTCAGGCCACTGACCTGCAGGCCCCAGAGAAAGGGGAGCAAAGTAGTCTTTCCCCAGTCTCCCACCCCCATCTGAGCTCAGCCCTCCCTAAGGCACAGCAAAAGACCTTCTGAGTAGAAATGAGATCACATCTGGTCTGGCAAAGGGAAGCTGTGGGATGACAGCTTGAAGTACAGGGTGGGAGTTTATATGATCAGACTGACATTTTATAAAAAGCTATTCAGGGGTCCCAGGAGAAAGAGGAATCAGAGTGGCCAGGATGAAGTCAGGGAGACAGATAGGTCCTCACTTGATGCAAGCCTGGATCTCAGCCAATCTTGGAGTTGGTCCTAGTTTCTGGCACCAACCTAAACCAGAAGCCCACGGTGGGCTTGGTCAATGACTACTTATCTCTGTCCCTCTGCCTCTACCCTGAGCAGGGCCTGGAGCACTGGAGATGACCAAAGGGAAATAGAAAATCAAGGACTTCAAGTGACAGGGGCTTTCCCCACCATAAAAACCAGAAGGGGGCCTAATATATGTAGACAGCTCTGATTTCTGCCCATCTCTTCCCATGATAACAATGTAACATCATTATCAACAATGATGTCATTTATGATTACAGCATACAGGGCCTGACAGCTTCATTTAAATCAGAAGGTTTAAGTGCCAAGCAACAGGAACACGACTAACTTGAGAATATCACAGGCAAGTGAAACATATTTTCTCATTGGCATTTCTGGTTGTGTGAGAGAAGAAATAGGAATGAAGGGTCACTCCAGACTGTACCAACTTTTCCATATCCCTTTGTCTCTTGCCCAGGCTGGCATCACTGCCTCAACACTTTCTTCCTCCTGTGTCACTTCCATGAGCAATGTCTTCTTAAAGTCCAGCTCAAATGGCACCTCTTCTAGATGGGCTGTTATGGGGTTGAACTGTGTCTCCCCAAAAGCTATATTTAAGTCATAAGCCCTAATATCCATGAAGGTATCCTTATTTGGAAATAGGGTCTTTGCAGATGTAATCAAGGTAAAGTGAGTTCATACTGGAGTAGTGCGGGCCTTAAGCCAATGACTATGTCCTTATAAGAGGAAGGACATTTGGAGCCAGACAGACACACAGTGGAAAGGCAGCCAGGTGAAGATGCAGGCAGAGATTGGAGGGATACAGCTGCCAGCCAAGGGTTGCTGGCGACTACCAGAAGCTAGGAGAGGTGAGAGGAGCTTCAGGTCTGGGAGAAAATATATGGGTACAGTTTTTACACCCCACCCCCCGAATGTGGTACTTTGTTCTGACAGCACCAGGAAACCATCTAGGAGGTGGGATGGTCAGGGACCTCGGGGAAGGTCCAAGAGTGAGAATGAGAAAGCCCATTGGCTCTCCCCACCAGGAGCCTGTGGGCAGCAGCCACACTCAGTGGGACACCTGAGTCCTGGGCCTCTCAGGGAGAGACCACTCGCTTGTTCCTGCTCCACCTCACCACCACACTCACCAAAGCCCGACCTTGCTCGGCTCCACTGGACAAGAAAAACCACCCAGGGTTTGAAACAAGTTTTGGTTGGCTTCTGAGCAGCCGGTTGGTGCTCTAGGCCAGCCTGGTCTCACCAGGGCTCTGCACTTCCCTCAGCTTCTCCAGGTGCCTGGTGATGGCATCCCTCCCACCACCCACACACCAGAGCCTGCAGAGGGAGCATAACCCTGCTGACACATTGATCTTAGAGCTCTGGCCTCCAGAATTGGGAGAAGCTAAATATCTGGCATGGTGTTCTGGTGGCGGCAGCGAACAAACACAGTGATCTTCCAGCTTCTCTCCCCGGCATCACCCTACCAGCCCCATCACCTCCACAGCCGCTTGGCCACAAATTGTTTCAGTTTGAAGTTTTCAGCAGGGCTGAAGATCAAAACCCTAAACCCATCAGTGCACATCCACTGTGGCCCTAGCCATCTGTGGGAATGTGAAGGAAAGCGATCTGTCAGAAGAGAGGCGACTCCTGTGCTCCTGTGTGTATTAGGTGAGGGTAGGGAAAGGGTCTTCCTTTACATTGCCCTTAGTTGCATGTCCTCCAGATGCCAGCAGGTGGCAATATTGGTCTCTTCCTGTATTGAAGAAGGGTCCCATAAATTAGCAAACTATAATCAGGAGCACACAATGATACTGGCACCCAGGCATCTGTATTTCATAGGCATTATTCCACTTAGTATTTGGGATAGCTGTGGGAAGTGGTATTACTGTCCTCTCTGTTTTACACATGAGGAAACTGAGACCCAGAGAAGTTAAGGAAATTGCTCAAGGACATACTGCCAATCTGGGGCAAAACCAGGGTTATATCTTGTGCCAGAAGCTATGCTCCTACAAATGGTACCCCAGCTATTCTGCCAGAAAGCACAATGATGGCACAGCCAAGGACCAGGACCCAGGAGGCCCTGCCCTAGTCTGATGAGGCAAAGAGTCAAGGAAGCATGACCAGTGCAGTGATGGGGAAAATAGCTAGGCCTGGGAGGATCAAAAAGTGGTGCTCATGCAGGGCCAGTGTGTGCCAGAGAGGGTAGCTAAGTAAGCTCAGTTCACAGAGAGGCAGGAGGAATGAGGCATGAGGCACTGACCTATAGATTGTAGCCAAGGCACACAGGACAAGGCCAGGTCTGGGGAGGCTGTGGCTAGGGACAAGGCTATAATCACCCCCTCACCAACTCTGCCAAAATCCAGCGTTTTCTGGGGATGTTTCAGGACCTAAAGTTTGGTTAAGTCACTGCTCCTGATGGGCTTCTTAGATAAGGGCTTCTTAGATAAGCATGGGGAAACTGACGGTGGTTGCCTGGCCCAGTGCAGTGCCTGATGGAGTGGGGTCATGGAATAAGGTTCTTTAGGTTCAGGACAAGCCAGAAGCTCACATGGAAGCAACTGGAAGGTGTCTCAAATATTTTGTGACTGCGGAATCTGAGTGTAGAACTAACTGAAGCATCACACTAAGCCTTCTACTAGGAGTGTGGACTGTCTTGAACCTTACTGCACACTTCTGATGAGGGGTTCCCTTCCTTCCTGATGGAACCTGTCCCCTTGTGAGATACCTCAAGTGTCTAGGATGTTCCATGATCTGCTTCGTTTCAGAGGGCCACTCCAGCAAAATGACTTTGCTCTCTGTACCCATAACAATTCTTCAGAGTTGTAAAGATGGGTGGCCAGCTGCCTGAGTTTGTTCATTTCCAGACTGAGCTCAGCAGGCCTTTCATCTATCTCTCCAACCCTAAACTTCAGAGTGCTTTTCTAATTCAATTGTGATACTATTTTTTAGCAGTCATAGCAAATAAGACAGCCATCTTTCTGTGTCAGCCAGATGATGGGTATTAAACACCCAAAGGAATCTCATGGAATAAATGTAAAAATGATTCTCAGATCCACAATACAGTGCAATCTAATTCTCTACCTACATTATCTCTTAAAAAGCATCTGAAACCACTCATTACCTTTGTCCCTGAAAATTCATGTTTAATTCCTGAATCCCCACTGCCTCAGAAGGTGACTGTATTCAGAGACAGGGATTTTTTAATATTTATTTTTTAGTTGTAGTTGGACACAATACCTTTATTTTGTTTATTTATTTTTAAATGGTGCTGAGGATTGAACCCAGGGCCTTGCATGTGCTAGGTGAATTCTCTACCACTGAGCCACAACCTCAGCCCCCAGAGACAGGGTTTTTAAAGAGGTGATTAAACTGAAGTCACTGCAGTGGGCCCTAAAGCAGTGTAACTGGTGCCCTCATAAGAACAGGAGATTAAAACACAGCACACAGGAAGAAAATGACCATCTACAAACCAAGGAGAGAGGCTTCAGGAGAAATAAAATACCTTACCCACACATTTATCTTAGACTTCCTGCCTCCAGAACAACTCTGTTGTTTAAAGTGCCCGGTTTGTGGTACTTTGCTGTGGTATCCCTACCCCACTCCTACATCCATCTAATCACCAAATCCTCTAGACCCCTAGATACTGCTTCATAAAGAGCTCTGAAATCTTCCTTTCCAAATCCTCAAAGGTTCTGATGGATAAAAATTCTTATGGGGACAGTTAAACAACAGAGAGGGTCAAGGTGATGGTGGTCACATGTCTACAAATCATTATGGAGCTCAAGTTGGGGGATTACAATGGAATTAGGAGAGCTGGAATAGACCCTAGGGGCCCAGGAAGTGACCTGTGGGGACAGATGCTCTCCCCTTCTGGCTTCAGGGGTCTTTCAAGGTGGCATAGAGGTGCATCTCTTAGCAGACCTGAGTTTGGGCAAAGCTGTCCATCCAGGCAGGTGCTTTTAACAACAGCAACAACAGGGCAGTGGCGGTCTCTGTGGGACTCAGCACCATTCAGTGAGAAGTACAAGGAGGTATTGATTGCTCCTCATCCACAGACAAGAGAGCACCATTATCTCCCTGGACACTTGGGACTCAGAAATCAGGGCAATCACAGCCCCACCTGGAGTGAGATCAACAGGACTCAGACTGCACCTGCCCTGTCACACCATTTGCTGGACCCTCCCTGGTTGGCAGGCCCAGCTGGCCAGGCTAGTGAGAAACCGTCTGACCAGCTCACAGCTCTTGGCACCCACCTGGGTTCCTGGCTCCCGGAGGGGCTAGGTACACTCGGCATGCGCTTGATCCAAATCACCCGAGACACTTGGGTTCTGCCTCCATCCGCACTGGCAAAGAAGGCAGCTGTGAGCAGCACTGGGGACTGCGGAGCCTCCTTCCTGGGCAGTTTGAACTTGGCCAACTTATAGGCATGCCATGAGCATGCTTAATAATGGCAAACTATGGCCACAGTAGCTGGCCTTTTCAAACCCTAAAGATGATACTTTTTCTCAGGACATTTTGCCACTACCAGGCTCAGCAATGCAAGGGTTAAGGTGACACAGATAAATACTAAACAGACAAGAGCCAAGCTCACTCTCCCTGGAGGCCACACTGTTTTGCTCTTTTAAATCCTGGGACATTCAACCAGATGAGCCCTTACTGATTTCTGCACCCCATCCTGCCACTGGGCACCTGGGGACAGTGACCCTGGGAGCCAGAGGGAAGTGGCCTGACAGAGATTCTCCAGTTACTGAGAGACAGGCAGGCCCAGCAGTGATCATCCCCAGAGAGAGACTAGTGATTGATTACCTGCTCGATCCAGGAGTAGGTCTTGATAGAGCAGGTGGCTCCTGGCTCCTCTCAGAAGGCCCATCCTCATCTACCACCTCAACCCTGTGGACAAGAGGAAAAGTTGTGCTTATGGTTTTCTTGACTGTCCTGGAGTTTGCTGGCCTTTGAAGGACATGCTTTCAGTGATGTCCAATTGAGATGATGATGAGGTGGTTCAGGCTTGAGGTCTCAACCATCCCAGCTCAAGATAAAGACAGCATATGAGGTTGAATAGTATTCTCCCCAAATTCATGTGCCCTGGAATTTGTGACTATCATTGGGAAAAGGGTTTTTGGAGATGTAATCAAGGTAAGATGAGGTCACATTGAGTGAGGGTGGGTTGTAAATCCAATGACGAATGTTCTTCTAAGACAAGTAAAATCTGGACCCAGACACAAAATAGAAGGCCATGTGAATATAGCCACAGACCTGAGTGAAGCAGGTACAATCTAAGTCATGCAGGGACTGCCAGCAGCCACCAGAAACTTCTCCTTCAGCAGCTCCAGAAAAAAAATCAACCCTGTCAACACTTTGATATCAGAGACTAGTCTCTGGAACTATGAGAGAAGCTATTTTGGCATTTCAAGACACCCAGTTTGTGGTACTTTGTAACAGCAGCCACAGGAAACTAATACAGCCAGCAAGAACATGCCATTATGTCATGTCCTTTGTGTTGCTACCACTCCCTGCTCATTGCATTCCAGTAAGCCTTTCTGGTCATTCAACACAGTGAGCAGAGGGTGGGAACAGCTTTGCACTTGGCATGCTGGCTCTTCCTTGTTTGTCAGTTCTCAGCTTGTCATACCACCTTATCTTGAATGCCTTCTCTGTCCACTCAACCAAAGATCCCTAAAATTCAACTTTCCATAAGTTTCTTCCCTACCCTCCCTCCAATATTTTTTCTCCCCACTCAGCTGGACTGTCCAGATAATCTGACATCCTGACCATTCTATTTCTCCTTTAGGACCCATCTCCAATGTCATAATCACCTCCCAGGGAATTTTTCCTGATGACCCTGATCCTGGGTGAGAGCAAAGAACTCTTCCTGGGGTCAGCTGAAGGAGGGAGCCAGGGTCCCTCCAAGGGCTGGCAAGCCAGGAATTCTGAGTCACAAAACTCTGGAAAGGAGGTGAATGGAACAGCTCCTTTGTAATCTTTAGGTAGTTTGACTTCAAATCCCCAGAGGACCTCACAAATACTATAGCTCCATCTTAGGTGTCATTAGCTATTGGCAAATGGAAGAACTCACCCATAAGCCAGGTTGCTGCCTTCACAGAACTGGCTACTAGGACCACATGTGCCTCCACAGTCAATAAGGTGTTTGCCTGGCCTCTGGACAGAAGCCTGATGCCTCTCACATCTCTGCTTGGGAACAGCAGTCCCCCACCCTTACCTCCCCTCTCCCTATATTCCTGCTGAAAGGAGGCCTTCTCTGTAGCCAGCAACAGGCTTCCAAGGCTTCCTTGGATGAAACTTACCTTTTTGCAATAAAAGGGGCCTGAGTCTCCTGGGTAGGACTTCTGGAAAGGAATCAGAAAGGTGACATATTGGTCAGAGCCCATGAACAGATGACAACTCAATCACTCTACTCTAGAGAGTCTTGAGACTCTCTCCTATTCCCAGCACCTCGCCTGCCCTTATGGCAGCAGCCAAACCCCCCAGTTTCTTTAGAAAATACATATGAGAATCTGAGAAAGTCTAGCTAGGAGGGCCCTTGGGAGTATTCTTTCAATTCACCCTTTCACCAGGCCAAGGAACCCTGAGAAGAGGGGAACTATTCCACAACATGGAGCCAGTTGGTGGCCATGCCAGGCTCAGAGACCAGGCCTCCTGCCCTGCTGGGTTCCCTGCTGTGCAACTCACCCAGTGCTCTTCTTGACTGCTGACAGGACGTAGGAATGCTCCCTGGGAGCTGTCTTCCTCACCACACTGCTTGCAGCCTCTGATCTGGGGCAACATGGGGTGGGGGACAACTGATGGGTGTCAAGCTGTACACACTCTGCCAGCCTAACCAGGGATGTCCTCAAGATGACTAGGAACCACCCCAGAGAGGTGAGGAGAAGCCAATGTAGCATATGCTACAAAGACTATTCAAAGGAAACATGGAAACTGAGGGAAGGGCAGCCATGTTTACTGAGCACACGCTGTGTGCCCAGCCGTGCCCTGGATACTGACATCACCATATTTGCTCATTAATCTTCCTAACTCAGAGAAGAAGGTGCTAATATCCTACCATGATTTCCAGATGAGGAAACTGAGGCTAGACAGCTCTAGTTAGCTGCCCAAGAGTACACACCTAGCAGGTGGAAGAGCAGGCATTTAATACTAGGCAGCTTCAGAACTCCTGGTTCTTTGAGCTGCACTGCCCAGGCCTGAGGACACATGCCTTTATGGCTGCCCATCTTTCAGAACCTTCAGCAAGGGGACTTTTCTGTGCTTCCTGAGCTGCAAATGGGTTGGCAGAAGATGGCCCACAGCCAGGCCTGTTTGTGGGCAAGGGACATTTGAAATTATGGAGCCCATCCCCTGCCTTCTAATGTACATGGCTTACTGGGACTTTGTATACACAGCTCACACATAGAGAGAACTGTGCAGGTGGCCACTTGGCCTCTTCCAGGGATCCTACCCTGCAAATTTTTATCCAATTTTCTCAGGACCTGTTCTAACAAAATGGTTTAAAGTCCAGAAGAGCCCAGAAATAACTTTTGCCTGGGCCTGCATTACCTAGGTTCTACCCATAAGCAAGTGCTTTAGAGGGCCTGCTGAGCTGGTAGTTAGTTCTCAGCTGGTCTAGCACTGAGTGAATAGTTCTCAGACTCATGGAATGACAGCTATACCCATACCCCACAAACCTCCAAAGATGGCCTAAGTTTGGTATGTTGAGTGAAGACTGAGGACCCTGCCATGCCTTGAGGGGCACCATTACCTCCGTTTCTGCTCATCTGAAGAAATGGGCACTTCTTCCTCTTCCACCTCCCCTGATGTGGAGCTGCGCCTGATGTTGTATGGTGCCCTGGAGGAAGAGAAGAAGTGGTTATAGGTCTTCTACCTCCATACCACACCCCCACACTCCCTGTCATATACCTCTCCAGTTCAAGCCTCATCACTTCCCCAGAAAGATTTTCCAGGTGCTCCATGACACTGGCTGATGGGGACAAAGGACAAACAATATAAAGATGTGGGGCCTCTGGGGAACCTATGTCCAGAGCCCCGCTCCCTGGCATGCAGGGTAAGAGCCTTGAAAGGGACCTCAAGGAGACCTCCAGTGTGGATGCCAAAGAATTACACCCAAGAAATAACTCAGCTTTAGACACAAAATGCCCACACTGATAGGCTGCTAGAGCCAGCAGCATCCCAAGGAGCATTGGGCTCCCAGCCCAGCACAGCCCAGACTGAGTCCATGGCCCAGACTGGTATAAGGGGCATGCCCAAAAAATACAACCAGCCATTAGCAGCCTCATAGCCACAATTCATGATCCTTTCTCCAGACCTATGTACTCTTCCTAGAAGCTTCCTGCAGACTGTGCTTTGCCTCAGATCAGAAACATATTATGCATGGTCATGCAATTTTCTGGGCCTTTGTCACCCCCTGGTGGGCTCCAGGCCACAGCCACAACTGTCAGGGGTGTTGGGACAGTTAGACTAGCTCTCCCTAGGCTGTGCTTAGAGGAGAGTAGCCAGTTATCCTCAGCAGGTCCTATGTTTGGGTTGGAAATTGCATACTCACAGCTTCTTGTAATCCTCAGTGGTCATCTTGTAGCCAGAGGAGGTGGGGCGGGGAGGGTCAGTGGTAGCTGTTTTCCCCAGAGCGGCAACGCTGCAAAGGCCAGGAGTTTCCATGTGCCCACCCAAAACCCCATTCCTATCCCCAGATTTGCCTACACAGCCCAACATGCATGAGATGGGTGGCCCAGGGGGTCACTGGGAGCTTTATTTTTTAATTCAGCACTGCCAGACACCCTGAGTAGGCAGCCCTTCCTGCCATAGGCAGACCCCACTGAGCCTCAAAGAAAAACCCAGTGGGTTCTTGCCTGTGTTTTCTTCCTGCTCCAAGTCCCCTTGGCCTTTCCTTTCCAATGGAGCCCCAGTTCTGCATGATGCCTGGTTGTTTAGTTAATATGCCCCCTCAGCCTGCTAGGAAGACTAAAGCACACAGCCCAGTGTGGTCAGCAAGTACGAGGTACCAACTACCATACCAGGGGACTCTGGGCCCAGCTTTCCCAGTATGTTCCCTGTGCCTTTCTGCCCCAGTAAACAGAGCGAGCCAGGTTAGGCACTGTCCCTTGCTTACAGGCAAAGCCCTATCCCTGCCATGGATCTGGAGCAGGCCCTCACACCTTCCCAGTGGCCAACTAGCCAGTGCCCTATGGACATACCTTTTTGGAGCTCCATTGGCTTTGGGGAAGTGCTGCTGGGCATGAGATGAGCTGTCGATGGGTTTGGTGAACACACCCCTACAAGAGAACCCAGGAGATGATGAGAAGTCAAGGAGCAGCGCAGATGGTATGGGGATGCAGGTGCATGTCACTTACCGGATGATATAGCCAGTGGGAGCTCTTGTGCTTGGAGCCCTGCCAAGGGAAAAGGAGGTACAAAGTGAAGCAGGGCCTTGCTGGAGGCTTCAGGTTCCCTGCTTCATTCTGTCTCCACCTATACGAAAGTAGGCTGGCTGGTAGGTATCCCAGTGTAGCACACATGAGCAGAGGTAGCCACTCCCATTTTCCTGGCCAAGGTGCTTACTCTGTTCCACCCATTTCCAGGGATGGTGGGAACTATAAGTTCTAGGCTCAGGGACAGGAGATAAACGCACCTACCTCCTAAGAGTCTTCCTTATAATTGGGCAAGGAAACAAGGACTCAAGGCAGATCATACCACTGTCCAGGAATAGAGGGGCTTTGCGGTAGAGCAGTGGGGTCAGGTTTAAGGGTAATAAAGAGTCCCAGAATCCTCCATCCCTACAGACTCTCTTTGAAGGGACAGGTTCCTGGAGGTGGCCAAGTTGCAGGAACACAGGGTGACACCTATTCCAGCCACACAAGCATTTCTGACTGGGGCCTTTTGGCAGGCTTTATGTAGACTTCAAGATAGCACCATTATTATTTTTTTTTAACAATTTTTTAGTTGTCAGTGGACTTTATTTATTTATATGCGGTGCTGAGAATTGAACCCAGTGCCTCACACATGCTAGGCAAGTGCTCTGCCACTGAGCCACAACCCCAGCCCCAAGGTAGCACCATTCTGATCCCTGATGCACAATACCCTAGAATGTGCTTTCCTAACACACCCCAAACCACAGGCTGGGGTGAGAACTGCATCTTCCAAAGTCAAAAAGCTCCATAAGAAGTTGACTATCTTTGATGACTCTCAAACTCATCAATGTCATCCACCATAATTGTCTCAACTTACAATTCTCTCTTTTGCATTCATCTGTTAGGTATCTATGTCCCTTGCAGGAATGTGAGTTCCCCTCAGGAAAAGGCCTAGGTCTTGATAACTACTATAGCCTCTGGGCCCAGCACAGGACCTGGCAGTTTTTGGGCACTGAGCAAGACTATAACCAGAGATCACCCCATTCATCAGCTGCTGCCATTGCCTGTCACCACCTGAGAAGCCCCTGCTCTGCACATGCTGTCAACTGCCAGCAGTTTAGGGCAAGGACCACCCAGTTTATTTCTTGGTTCCCATTTCTCTCATGATCAGTTCCTCCAGATGCTAGCAGGATGAGCTCACACTTCAAAGCCCCCTGGACATTGTTATTGAAAAGTCCTCAAAATAGAAAGAGGCCAGCTCCACTGACCAGCTGGAATTATGACCTTGGGGGCAGTTGAGGTCAAACATATAAGCCTCCCCTGCAGGAGTGAGTGACATGTGACTCAAAGCTGCCTGAGCACCTCAGAGATGTTATCTCATTCCCTGAAGGAGGAGACAGAATAATAGTCTTCTTTTGAATGACAATTTCTATCCCAGTTGACAGCTGGAGCCATTGGAGCCATGGAAGCCCTCAGGGGTGTCAGCTAGCCCTATGACCCCATAGCAAGGCCAGGAGCCTGGACCATTGACTTCTACCCTCCCTTTCCCAAGAGGAAAGCACAGCAGAAGAGCTCATCCTTCCTGTGGATTTTAAATGATACACTACAGGTCTTTCATGCTCCTTTTAGCTTGGGCTCCCTATCTATCCCCTATATTCCTACTACAGGGCCAGCCACATGCTGCAGGTAAGTTCCGAGTGCCCACCTATGAGCCACCTTGGCTCCACCTCTTACCTGGCCTTTGAGACCTCCCCAGCTGATGAAAAGGATGTGGCTCGATTCCGGCCTGCAGGCAGCTCTCTGGGGAAAGAGGGATCCTGAAAGAATGCCTCCCAACCTCCCTGCCCCCTGCCACTCTGCAGTCTCCATCCTAAAGGATGCCTGCAGTGCCTCACCATTCTCACCTCTCCTTCTCCTACCCCAGCCTTCCTCCACAGATGTGTGTATACACACATGCCCCAGTGCCTGAGACCTTTGCCATCTTTAGACTTTGCTCAGATCTTACCTTTAGCTGCTTTGACTTTCTCATGCTTCATCCTCCCTGTATATTCTATGGCCATGTGGCCTGACTGAGCTCTAAATGCTAGAAGCCTCTCAGCATCCCCAGGTCTGGTCAGGCCCCATGAATTGCAACCCACCCCCACCTGCCCCAGTTGCTGCCATCCCTTCTGGCTTCCTAGACTTACATGGTTCGGCCCTCGGATTCATCCTGCTTGGTGATCCAGCTCTTGTCCCCCTTCAGTGTGGTTCGTACTTTCATCTGCTTGAGGACATTATTGCGCTCCTCCTCACCTGGTGGCAAAGACTTCCCTGGCAGGGCCAAGGCCAAGCAGCCTCAAAAGGGAATCCCATGTCCAGGACCCTGAGGCTTCCTTTCCAGCCCTCCCAATATGCTTCTCTCCCTTTGTTTTCCAGGCCGCACTCACAGCCTTCCTGGGGAACATGTGGAATAAGGTGGGACACATGGAGCCCAGGCCTCACCTTTGGTGCTGCCTCCCAGAGCGGAGATACTCATGGTGCTGGCTCTGCAGGTCCTCTCTCAGTTGAGTCAATAGGGCTCCTGAGAAAAAGGCAAGCACATGTTTGTCACTTCATGCATCTGTAATGGCTGTGGTTCACACTACAGTTTTGATGGGGTTTGTCCTCCAAGGGTTGAAAGGTTGGCCACCAGAGTGGCGATGTTAAGAGGTAATGGGACCTTTAAGAGGGGATGCTTAATGGAAGGCAATGAAGTTATTAGGGATATTGCCCTAGGAAGACATTGATGTAATTCTCATGGGACACTGTGTTTTTTTTTTTTTTTTTTTTTCTGGTGAGAGGGTTGTTATCAAAGAGCAAGCTTGCCTCAGGCCTGATCTCACTCTGGCTTCCTGTCTTACCATGGGAGCTCTTCCTGTCATATGCTCTCCTGACACTGATGCCAACAGCCATGAGGTCTTCACCAGAGCCAAGCTGCTACCAGCACCATGTCCTTGAACCTCCAGAACTGTGAGCTGAATAAACATCTTTTCTTTATAAAGTACCCAGCCTCAGATATTTCATTATGGTAACAAAAATGGACTATTCTAGTAACCATATTGTCCCTAGAATACCAAGATCATTCAGACTTTTGGAGGTGGCAATTGTTGGTGGATTCCTGAATGAAGAACAGTGGCCAAGGAGCACGTACTCACTGGACCTGCCATTGCCAAGTGGCACACCCTCCTGTCTGCCTAGGGCTGCTCACCTGGATAACATGGAGCAGTGATCTGATAAGGGTAGGCCATGAAACCTTCTAGATTGCTAATGGGCAGAGTCTGGCCCCAGGGAGTTTGGGAAGGATCTCGCAGCAGGGGAGCCTCCAAAGCATCACAGAGACCAGTGTAGGGTCAGTCAACACTTTGGGGTTCAGAAGGTGGAACTAGAGCACATTTCAGGCAGAACTCCTTCAGGGCAAGCAGTTGGCCTGGGGGAGAGCAAGGGCTTGGGGGAACCAGTGGATTGGATTATCTTCCTCACCACTTAGTAGCTGTCTGAGAGACCCTGGAAAGGTCAGCTAATCTCTTTGAGTTGCCTCAGTTTCCTCATTTGTAAAATTGGAGTTAAAACATCTTCCTTTCGGGATTGCTATGAGAACAGGAAAGATCACTAACATCCCTGGGCATTTGGACAGAAGCCAAGTAGCATGAACTTTCAACCTGTCTCTGCTGAAAGAGGGATAGTTAGCAATCTCCAATCAGTACAAGGATAGTTTGGAGATGTGCAACCCTCTTTGTTCAGGTTTTGGCTCCACCTACAGTGAGGAAAACCTAGGGACCCATTGCTAACTCCTAGTGGCCCTTGGGACCAGATGAATGTGAAGATATGGCCAGGGCATCCACTGACCCCCTGGCCCACACCTGCCTTGTGATCTGTTCTCCCTCCTTGCTTCCTCTCTAGCATGCAGGTAGGGCCAGTGAAGGAGGGCTGTGGTGTCATAGAGGCCTTCACAGTGTCATGAGGCTTATTTACGTAGAGGACAGCCTAGAGTAAGGAGTTCTCTAGCCTGGGAGTGAGCCAGCGCTGTGGGGAGACAAACGGCCCAGGCTGTGGGTCTGGCTCTTGCTCTTGGCAGCCACTGGTGACCCTTTGGGCCTCAAGGGAGGGGCTGGGGTGCTCAGGTACATGGACAGGACATGAAGCAGGGGCTGGCTGTGCTGGCATAATCCTGAGGCAGGGCAGCCGTCCTCTCCAGGGTCTGCCACCTTCTGGGCTCCTCCAGGGCTAGGCTCTGACCAGCTCAGCAAAACTGCCAGCTGGCAGGACCCGGACATGTTTCCGTGGAAGTCAGGGGCACACTAAAAGGGGCAGGGCAGGGGGCCAAGAGCAAACCAAATTTACCACGTCAGCAAGGGCTGGCTCTCCCACAACGAAAGAGCACTCCAGGCAGCCTGAGCCTGCTGCATGCCAGGAACGGCACCTCATCATGGCAAATGGGAGTCCCACGTGCCCAGCCCTGCACCGAGGCTGCCACGTCAGAATTCTGTTGAGTGGAGCTTATTCCATAGGAGATCCTATTACTGCAGAGGTCCAGTTGTCCCCATCCCACAGCCTGTGGTAGAGTTGGTGCCTGCAGGCAGGCCCACACAGTCTGAACTCTTGGTTCTTCCATCTCCTGGTACCACTGACTATGAAACCTTTGGAGAATCCCTTACCTTCTGTGGGCCTCCTACAAGTGAGGTGAAGGTCATCCACAGCGTTTGAAGCCATCCCAGACACACTACTAGGCCCAGAAACTCATTAGTTTCCCTCATTACCTAGAAGTTTCCTGCCAAATCAGAACCAAATAAGCTACTTCTCCAATCAGGATGGAGTCACACATGTGCAGAATGACAGAAACAGAGGGGCCATTGGCAACTCCCCAGCCAAAGGGGCAGGGACATCTGCCAAAGATCAGGGCTGACGCTTCTGCATCGGCTCCTCTCCCTCAGACTTGGCTGCATCTCAGAAGTCAGATTTCTTTTATGATGGGTCACTAAATCTGAAGAGTCAGAAAGACCACTGCCAAAGTACACTAAAGAGTGGGGCAGCTCTTTGGGTTGAGAGCTTTTAAAGAGATGAGCCTCGCCAGGTGGACTAACAAATGGGGTTTATGTCTATGTCTCAGACAGAGAACTGGCAACTTCTTCTACAGTTTCTCCCCTCCCCAGCCTTGGTTCAGGCCAGGATCACTTCCGACCTCCTCCCAGTTTCTCTTGCCTTCATCTGCACCTCCTTCCAGCAACACTCATTTGCCTCTAATCCCACTTGGCCACATCAGTCCTTGTTTCTCACTCACTTTCTGATGGTTCCCCACTGCTTCTAAGACTGAAGGCAAACTCATCAATCCCTTGATCTGGCCTCTTCACTCACCAGCCCTCCTCAATGCCAATATTGTGCTTCAAGAAGACCAGGTACCTCAGAGTCCCTGGATGGTATCTCTCCTAAAATAATTCATCTATCCTTGCTTATGCTGGTTCCCCACCTGGAGGCCCTCCCAGTTCCTCCTGCGTCTCCCTAAGGGCTCAGCCCATCCAGTCAACCCTGCTCCTACTGGGTGCTCCCACCCTAAGTCCCAAAGCCATGCAGACTTGAGCACCTTAGAGCTGCTCAAGTCTTTCCAGATAAGACCTGCCTTTCCAGCAGCATCATAAAGGACAGAATCCAGGCAGCCCTCACACCCAGCCTTCACAGACTAGCATCCAGCTGCTGGAGGGCGGTGCCCTAGTGGAAGTTGGGAGCTTCCTGCTGTAGCTGTGAGCAGTTTTGGTAAATAGGTGGCTTACCACTCAGACAGTGGGGGGGTCATGTACATGCTATTGGTGGAAAGGTGAACTAGTGTTTCCCCAGCAGCAATCTAACCTAAGGAAGAAACTGCACAAGTTAAACCAAAAGGTACACATGAAGGGGGCAATCCCAGTGTGGAGTGTGATGATGAAAACATGGCAATAATTTAAAAGCCCGATAGTTGATTCAATCAAGCAAACACTAGGAAGCTATTATAACTTATACACAGAGTATTTAACATGTCTTCATAAGCACTCATTCTTCCATATCCACAGGTTCTACATTTGTGGATTGAACTTCCTTCAGACCAAAAACACTAAAAAAAAATGCATCTGTACTGCAAATGCACAAACTTTTTTCCTTGTCCTTTTCCTCCCCTAAATAGTATAACAACTGTTTACACAATGACATTATATAAGAAAAAAATCTAGAGATGATTTAAAGGATATGGGAGAATGTAGATAGGGTACACAAATACTATTCAATTTTATATAAGGGACTTGAGCATCTACAGATCTTGATAGGGGTTCATTTGACACCTGATCTGTGCAGTGGTTGCAGCAGTAGCAGTGGCAGCAGAGGCACCTCTCAGAGGAGAAAGGCAGCTTCTTCACTCAAACATGCAAGGGGGCACACTGAGACATATGGAGTTAGAGTGAACATGACGCCCACTGAAGGCTCCTCTCCCTGCTGACCAGGTTGGGAAGATCCCCTCCGGCATGCCCTGACCTCACACATACACTCAGGGAAGGCTCCACAGCCCATGGTCATCAGCACATTTATAGTCAACTCAGCCATTCTTTGGACCTTTTCAGTACCATACACCACATTTCTACCTTGATTGGGAAAAGATGCTGGTCTTTTGAGAGCTGCCATATCACTGCTCAGGGCCTTGCCTGGATGATCAAAGGAACAAGTAATTTACTCCTTCCACACCAGCTGTCCCCCATGACATACCCCTGAAGCCCCACTAGGTATGGGCCTACTACACAGTACCCCTTCTGTACCAACTCTCAGCAAAGCCCTACAATGCAGATATCTCTTGAGGCAGGTAGGCTCAGAGGTAGCCAAGGGATCAATCAGGGAAAGTGTCCTTGGCAGGGCTGGGTGAGGGAGATGGGAATTCAGATAGTCTCAATGCCAGTGAGCATGCTTTCTCTCCACCTTCCTCCTTGCTGTTGTGGCTTCTTTAGGGAAGGGGCCCTCGCCCTGATTGGATAGGTAGAGACAAGGAACCAATGAATGGGGCTGCAAGTCTGATGCCATCATATGCTGTCAGAGGGGAGTCAGAATGAGAGTGACACACACAGGAGGTAACATACGCAGATTAAAGCCCACTGAGGGTCGCCAGGGGCATCTGCAATGACACAAATGCTTGGCTGGTGCATGAGGACACAGAGATGGAGACAGAAGCAGAAGGGGGTATCTTGTCACCTCAAAAGGACATGCTCTGCCTCCAAAAGTAACTCAGAAAAAGTTTTGTAGAGTTCCCCCTGCCACTTGATTCCCCATGGGGCAGGGGCAACTCCCAGAGGACCTCTTATATCCTACAGCTCCCTGGCTCAGGAATACAGTTGAGCCCCACTCTTGATCATACTACACTAAACATGTAAGGAAGAGGAAACCACAGGAGAAAAGGGACATGTGTCTAGGGAGAGAGATCAAGTAGTCTGATTGAGGGGCCAGTCTCCAGACCAAGCCCAGGCCTCTTCCTGCTGGACGCTGAGCAGG